ATTTTTAGCTATGAGTGAATATCATATATTATGAAATATCATAATATTATTTTCGAGTTCCGTAAAACCGACTCAGACTGCTATGTTGAAATAGTTGTTCTCATTATTGGATTCCAAAGTGAAATCATTCCCTCTCTTCTGCAGAGTTTGAATGTGATGTCAATTTGCCGTACTAAAGCAGGAATTTCGACCCAACAAATTCATAAGGCATAATAGTTCATTTTCTCTACTCAGAGAACACGATTCTTATCACGATGATCATACACTTTACGGTGTGGGGAGCGGCTATTGCTGGGTGATGCCGGCGCACCCTCCGAATATGTTGGAGCTTCGGGGATAGGTGTAATCTTGTGGGCAAAAGGAAATAATCATCATTAATCATTTGAAATTTAGATATGATGAGGATGCTAATTTAGATGTGTTCGAAGTGAATCTCCACACTATATTCTTTCAGTGTTCTGTTTGTTGTGCGTTCAGAGTATAATTTCGTGTTCGCATTCAATAATGTACTGACATTACCTCAATTACAAGATTTCACGTTTATTCTTCCGACTGATTCTTTTTTAGGTCACATATAATGTTTATCTGTGAGACGAAAATGAATGGATTTGTTTTTTTTGTGTAAAAACCGAGAGAACAAATCGTGGGCGTACAAGCAGAACCCTCTAAGTCCACTTTTTTCGAAAATGAAGAATGTATCACGTATAAGTCTATATTAGGGTAACGCTCCAGGCAAAGAAACATTCAAGTCCATTTTGCGTTTGTTACTGGACATACACCGATTGAAATTCACTTAAGTCTAACTTCGTCATAATTTCAACATGCAGAATCGGTCAAGTGCACTTAAATGATTTTCAGTTTCTACTGACCAATAAGCGACAAGTCTGAACAGGAAAAAACCTGTAAGTCTGTCATTTGGTGTTTATTGTTTCGTGGTGTAGGATCCTAAGAGTTTATCCATATTGCATAAATGTCTTCCAGAGGCAAAAATAATGTTTTTTTTAGCATGCAATGAACAAGTGAGCCATGTTATCGATAAAAATAGTGTTACTTTTAAAACATCTATGAACAATCATGAAAACTTGATATGTGGAACATCATGTGCAAGACCACCTAAAAAACTCCGAACGGTCAATTGTGAAAAATGTCGTTTCAAATGTCAGACTAAATTCTCAGATGCTGAAAGGAAAGCTATTTGTACACAATATTGGAAAATGGACAATTTCAAAAGACACACTATTCTCGTAAAACTACGAAGAAAGATTACCTGGACAGTGAATTATCTATTTCAAAGATGTGCAGTCTCTACAAAGAAAAATGTGAAGCAGAAGAAAAACAATTCGTGACATTTATAACGTATAAGAGAATTTTTGGAGAGCACTATAACTTATCATTTTTTAAACCTAAAAAAGATTTATGTCAAATTTGTGAGAGGCATAAAACAGCTGAAAATGAGGCAAACAATAATGAGAATTATGGAAGTCATATAAGGCTACATAGCTACATAGGCTACATAGCTGAAGATAAGGACAAAGTACGAGCTACTAATAATGAAATTTTTGTTTTATCAACTTACGATTTGCAGGCAATACTTTAAATTCCCTGCTTGGATGTTAGCCCCATGTACTACTCAAGGAAAATTTGCGTGTACAACCTCACAATTTACAATTCAGCTCCACCGAATGATGCCTATTGTTATTGCTGGTCGGAATTGAATGGAAAAAGAGGCAGTTCCAAAATAGGTTCCTGTTTATATTTACACCTGACAAATTACAAAGTGAGTGGGTCTATTCAAACCTCCACCGCAACCAGCAAGGGTTTATTGTGGCTCACACCTATTCATAATTGATCAAATAAACCTAGCTTCCCAACGAAGCCGATTAGTTTGTATGGTGAGTGGTCTTTCAGGTCAGATGGTACAAGTACGGCACTGTCAAACTCTTAAAACCTGATTCGGTCCCCAGCGGGGCAGGCACAAAGTATGTTTCATCATTTTCCAAACAGAGAAGACACACACTGTCTTCCGACAGTCCGAATCCCTGCATATGATGATTCAAATGACAGTGACCTGTCATTTGTTAGACATCGTAGTTCATTCCTACTGTAGTCCAACAATTGGTATCAAGCTTCGAAATCCATGAATCTTTTTGCCATCCAGGTATTCAATCTTTGTTTGGCAAAGCCTAATGCCAATGACAGGTTCTGGTCCGATGAAGCTGTTTGCAGCACCCTCCTCTGCAAGGGAGTCAGCAGCCTCATTGCCTTCCAGGTCAGTAAGGCCAGGAAGGCAGGTAAATATTTTATTCTAGATCTTTTTTGATAACACTTCAGATTACCTATCCCATATATTTCCAGAATATTTGGAGTTCAATAACTGGTTTCTTCCATCACACATTTAGAGGAGGTAGCAGCCAAGATATGTGTGAATTGGTTAACGCGACTAACTCAAAACAATAATGATTTTAGGAATATGTTCGCAATATGGGGTACCCAATTCAATATGTGAAATTTCAAACTAAGTGAAGTTATTTTTTTTTAATATTCATCAATGGAAATGCAAAAAGTATATCTGAAGAAAAGTTTCGTCCCCTATGAACATAAAAAAATTCTCATCTAGAAATAACATACAACAAATTATTTAGAAATGCAAAAGTCACAAATATACGGATTTCTTTCACAATTAGCACATTCAACATGAGCCCATTTGAAGCAATTTTGACACATTACCCATTCTTTGCCTTTGACATCTTCGGAGTACGGATTTTCGTAAAAAATAAAAATGGCATCTTCTTCAAAACTTTCTACCTGCTGATCATCTAAATTTTGATACTCGGGTTCAGGAGCCAAATCTGAAGGAGAACTCCAGGATACCAACTTGCCTTTGTTTGCTTTTTTCTCAGCAACTGACTGTTTCTTTTTCTTTTGGGTATGTTGTGTATCATCGCTCGGCTGATGTAATTGAACCAATTTGTTTTTTTTTCCTTTTTTTTCCACAACTTCAACAGGCTTGTGTTGGACTGTGGTTAGGCCAGTTTCATCACAGTTGAAGACCCTGGCTGGATTTTGATTTATTTGTTCGAAAAGTGGATCATACAAATCAAAAAATGCTGCAACATGTTCTCTGGAAAAGGATTTAATGCACGCATATGATATTCCTTGGGGCGTTCTCAATGAAAATTCTTTGTGTCTTGTGATGAATTCAAAAAACCATTTCTTCCCAGCACTTTCTTTTTCTACCCTTAATGGATTCTTCATATCATTAGCCTTGCCTGAGCTGTATGCCAATCTGCACACGTCTTTTCGAGTACAAAAAAAATTCTTTCTATTTCTAAGCAGTCACTTGCGAGCATTGACTCCAATTCTTATGGAAAGACTATCTTTCTTCCTAACGAAGAATTCACAATGTCTTCAGGCGCTCCCTTCATCTTTACGTACCTTTCTAAGGTCATTTGAGGTATACTGTGGGTCTGCGCAATCTTCTTGTAGCCCAGCTAAAATAACTGAAATCATTTGTTCCTTCTTCCTAACTTTTCGTTTTTTAGACATCTGAAAGAGAATACCTTACTTTTATAAGGAAAAGTACACAGTCCCCTAATACTGCGTACCCCATATTAGGAATTGATGGGCACCCCATATTACGAGCAAATTAGCTTTATGATCTTTTCTTAAAAAACCAGAACCATTTCCATAAACTAAGCCAAACTCTGTATTCAATGATATTATTAAGTTTTTAAAAACTGACCTTTACGTTTCCTTAAATATCTAAAAAGCAACAGTCACCAGAAAGTTTTATTCATACACAAAATTACCATAACCTAAATCATCGAAACGCAACACGAGTTTGCTCCAAAACGTGAATGGGCGCTTTCTAGGAAGTCGGTGGTTAGTTTTTAATGTTCACAATAGGTGTCGGAACAAATACTTGCTTAAAATTGAACTACCCCATATTAGGCACTACCCCCATATTAGGTGACTTTCCCTTACTTCGACCGCGACACTGAAGATGACTGCCGCAGTTGACTTGAAAACTTTGGAGATTATAACCAAAGAAGACCACGGTAAAACCCGAAAACCAGCCAAAACAATAATAATTTCCATTGCATCATTTGTATTTACATTGCACAGTTTTACTTAGGAAATTTTTGTCTCTTGGCGTAGGAGAAATCTCAATGATAGTTGGCTGTGCAAAAAATATGTTGAGTGTGCAACACATTTCAAAGCCAACAACATTTTTTTCACAGTTTATATCACGTTGCCGAAGAACATAATGCAAGTGATTCAGTCAAAAGAAAATACAGTATACCAAAATTGTCATTAATTATTTTTGTAGACATCTTATTATCAACGACTGTGGATTATTACTTCTGTCAATGAGTTTTTTATAATATACAACATCGCAAAATGATCAAAACTTTTCCAAATGAATATGAAATGTTTTAAAAAGTATGTGAGATAGGTACCAAAAAGTTTTTATTCAAAATGACAGAACTTGGACCTATTTGCGGTAAAACTAAAAGTGCCTACGAATTGAAACTCATTCAATTGAATTGCCATCATTGCCATACTGCTGAATTTTCATGATTTTCTGAAACTTTCANAGTGCCTACGAAGTGAAACTCATTTAATTGAATTGCCATCATTGCCATACTGCTGAATTTTCATGATTTTCTGAAACTCTCATTGGTATCTGATGAACTTTTCTTTCTTCCATTCTTTCCTTCTGAATTTTATCAAAGCGAAAATCGCCAACTCTGAATAGTCTGTATATCCCAGGGATGGGTTATTGGTCTACAAACTGGAAAAATAGAAAAGGTAATGATTATTCAATGTGTATTTATCAGCTTATTTGATCTTGTCGCTTCTTCTGCTTTGGTAAAATCAGTGCCATACTTGTAAACTTATCGTTTCTGGGAATTGAACATCAAAAATCAGTCTATATACCAGGAATCATATGAAGAATCGTATGGCATATTGATAGAAATAATTTCTTTTCGTTCCAGAATCAATTAAATTCATAGATACCCCTGAAGAGCAGAGGGCAGTAGAAAACAAACAAGTTCTTCTTCGGTGTGAAGTAAGCGGAGAAGCTGATATTTCTTGGACGGTAGAAGATGAAGAACTGATAGGTAAATTGAAATATTCAGATGTGAATAGAAAACAAACATATAATAATTGAAATACGTTTCGATTGTTAGTAATTACTGTCATTTTTAGGTGTATATTGATAATTGTCAAAATCAACATTGACCACATATTCATTAGTTTTCTTTTCAGGTCCAAAATACGCAGTACTGGCTGATGGTCTTTTGATAACGAACGTCAGCCGTAACGAAAGCAATAAAACTTTCATCTGTCAAGCTTCGCAGACTGCCACAGGAGCTTTTATAACCCGAAATATCAAATTGATAGTGGAACGTGAGTAGAAATATACCGGTGTAAACGGTGTTCAAACAGTTTGGTCTTGAGCTTCTCCTTTTTTGTAAAAATCGTCGTATTTTTGTTTACTGAAAATATTTTCTCATCCAGTGAATTCTTTAGCATTTGCAGGCATTCCAAAAGTTTAAATTTGAAACCTTAACCATCCAAATGTAATAAGTCATTGCCATTATCCAAAGAACCACAGCTATGTTGCTTTATTCTTAGGGAAAAGCTTCACCCTGTTTGTCTAATATGAAGTTTTGGGCAAGCACCACAAATCAACTTGAATACTGAAGTTTTGATTTGATTATTTTCAATGAATTTGCTTGAGTTATTTGAGTAATTTCGCCAAATGCATCAGTGCAACTATTTCTAAGTACATTTAAAACTGAACTGAATAATGATAAATTTGTTGTGGCGTGTTTCTGGGCCTCAAAAGAGCTTTTGAGACCATTGATAGGTCTATACTACTAGATAAATTGAATATATATGGAATAGAGGGCATAGTGTAAAATTGGTTATCTAATTATTTGACCAACAGAAAACAACGGGTGAGAGTGGAAGACAAATTCTCTTGTGAAATTGACAATGATGTTGGAGTTCCCCAGGGCAGTGTTTTGGGGTCTCCTTTTATTCATACTATATTTGAATGACATGCCATTACTTGTTGATTGTGAATTTATGAATTTTTTTGCTGATGATACTCTATTGGCATGTAGCGATGTGAACGTCGAAAGGCTATACAAAAAATGAATGATATTCTAGAAAGGGTCAGCCATTATTTGAAAATGAATGAACCAAAGCTGAATGTAGTGAAAATAAAAGCAATGATAATCACCACCAAATTCGAATACAGCCAAATAGACTCAGAAATTGTTGACCTCACCATTGATGATGAAAGAATTGAATTAGTGAATTCAATTAAATATCTGGGATTCCTGATGGATAACACTCTATCACTTGATGAACAATTTGAATATACAGTAGAATCCGGATAAACGACCTTCAAGGGACCGGATATACTATGTCGTACTAACCGGACATTATTTCATTAGTCTTTCATTTAGCTGTTCGGATTGCTAATCGATTGGCGAATAAAACATTTTGTGAAATCACATATGCTTTATTTTGATAGTTCTTAAATATCCTAATGTACAAACATATGTACAAAGTCTGTTATTTGAATTTGTTTTTGACAAACTTCTGTTCGATAGTGCATTATGAATTCGCGACATCAATGTTTTCATAACATTATCATCCAAGTTAGTCTGAACAAACACATTTAGCGTTTCCGTAGCCTTCGGAGCTGGTGCCACATCATCACCGACATTATCTTTGCTATTCGCGTCGTTGGGGTTTTTACGAAAATGTGATTTCAAAGCTCGAATAAACCCTTAGTCTATGGGTTGCAAAACACCAGAGTTATGCTTTTCAAGTCTGTAATATGGGCCTTATCCAACTGCTTATGAGTAGAAGTTCTTACACGTTTGCATTTCAAAAAATTGGCATCGAACAAATACTCGATCTTTCTTTATTCTTTCTAATTGTGGATATTGTAGAATGGGATACGCCAAACTCCTTTGCGAGGACTGCATTTGATTCACCGGCTACTAATCGGTGTAATATTGCACTTTTTGTCTTCAATTGCAAAACACTTTCGCTTCACAAAATTCATTTTGTCGAACTTTATGAACTTACAAAAAGTGACAAAGACTTCATACTGGAACCTCTGGCCTAAAATCAATCTACTAATATCTGTTAGTAGTACCTATCAATAGAGGTTCCTAAGAATACTACCTACTAGTAGTACCTATCAATAGAGGTACCTAAGAAAAGGGAGTGCGCCGAAGTATTGGTGCGCAGATTGTGTAAACAAAACATTGCGCGACGTTTTAACCGGATGTATACTAAAACCAATAATGATTGAGAGTAGAAGTAAGCCCAGTTGACAGCAAATCGGGGGCGTGCTTATTAATTTTTGAGAGGGTTGAGAATGAAAGAAAAATTCTTAGTACAATTAGTTGAAATATTCATACACATTTTTTATTTATTTCATTAAAACTTATTTATCTGCATGCTATTTCCTGAGCTTCTCCTTAATTGAGTCCAATGAATTAAAAAACAATTGAAAAAATATTGTTTTTGTCAGATTAAGCGAATCCCTCTAGATAATTGTCAGATTATGATACAGCACGTCTAAAACATAAAGATGAATCATTTATATCTTAATTTGATGTGCTTGAGTATTTCAAAATGGCAATTTTTTTGCACATTATAATAATGACCGCGAGTTTGCGTCAGATCTAAATCGTCAAATTATTGAATGAGAGTTTTTTTTTGTTGCACTGAACACCGAACACCCCCTCAAAAAATCTGATGCGCTCGATTGAATTTTTTTCTTTTCACTTTTAACCCTTACGTACAACCACCCACATAATGCAAATGATCAGATTAACATACCAACATTATTAAAAATACGTAGGACATTGATGCTATCAATATCTGACGCGCTCGAGTATGTCCATGCAACAGTATTTTTTAACATATTTGAAAATCTATGGCCGCTTTCCCCACCCATGAAAAGGTATATATTATATAACATTCTTTACTTCTCATCATCTAAGCTTTACAACCTAATATGTCTCAATGACGCTCGAGTAAATCCCCATTTTGTATCGTGGGCTCCCCTGCTATTATGTGATGATTGCCAGACCAATAATCACTTATGGTGAAAGCTTTTCAGTAAAAAGGCCCAGGCAAAGCACTCCGGCCTATAGAGACAGGCTTGTCTGGCCATCAGTGGTGCCATTAGTACCACACCGTCAGTGGCCATAAATATCATTCTAGATCTACCTACTCCTCACATTTTTCTGGAGAAAGAGGCAATATTGACTACATATAGATTTGTGCTTATTGCCAATTGCACAAATCAATTGCAGAGTGCAACAGACTGTTGGTTGTCACTGGAAGTTGCAGCATTCTGGAAATTACCTCCAACATCATGCCTATGTCAACTACGAACTGCCTTATAAAGTACTGTTCCCGAATAGAAAGGACTAAATCCTTCGGGAAAAGGAAATGACAAGAGTAGGTAGTTGTTGGTTCACAGATGGATCAAAAACACCTTCCGGTTCTGGCGTAGGTGTTTACAGTCGCAGAACCAGGACAGAGCCTGGTTCTGCGCCATAAAATGGCTTCCTCGGGTCACGCACGAGCATTGTATGGCTTCCTCGGGCCACGACCGAGGAAGCCATTGTATAGCGAAACACGTGTTGCGTGTCTAGTGAAAATCACACAATAAAGTGTTTTTAGAATACGTAAGGTATGGATTTTCATCAAGTATCGGCCGTTTCCATCATATAGAGATTTCAACCTTCCTAGGAACCTATACCAATGTATTTGGAGCGGAAATTTAAGCTACTGACTTGTGTGCGGAGAGATTGGAAGGATACAATCTCATACTCAAGACAATAAAAATATTCTTGGACAGTCAAGCGGCGTTGGAAGCTTTTGGCTCGTACCAAGCAACGTCTGAATTGCTAGCAAACTGCAAAAAAACGACTCTCCTCGATAGGAAGACTTAACATATTTTCTCTGGTCTGAATTCCTGGCCATACTGGCCTGAAAGGCAATGAGGCTGCTGCCTCCCTTGCAAAGGAGGGTGCTGCAAGCAGCTTCATCGGATCAGAACCTGCCATTGGCATCGCTTCATCAGGCTTTGCCACACAAAGATTGAATACCTGGATGGCAAGAAGATTTATGGACTTCGGGCAGAATCTTCTAAGATTGGTTCACTCCAAAGCGTTTATTGACCCTTCGCAGCTTGATACCAAACAGTTGTTGGACTTCAGTAGCGATGAACCACGATGTCCAACAGGCCTTCCTCAGGCCAGTGTCATTTGAACCATCATATGCAAAGACTGTCGGAAGATAGGGTGTGTCGCCTCTATTTGGAAAATGATGAAATAGTAGAGCAAATACTTGGTACTGGGTTCATTTGGTCGAATGTGAATAGATGTGACCATCTGTGATGTGAATAGACCCACTTTGGACCTAACCTAACATAACCTAGTAACGTGCTAATATTCGAAGAGAATAGTTTTGGGTACATTTTGGGAGAGATTTCATATTATCAACATTTCTTCTGCGAGTCTTGATTTTTGAACTGTAATACTTTACAAATTTCATCTTCACAATTGAAAAACAAGTCTCCCGTCCTATATATGGACTTTTTTATTTCTCGCTATCAAGATCCCATGCATTATATTTCGGAATAAAGAGTGTGATAGTGAAATCTTAGGTACATGTTTCAGATGTGAATAAGATAAGTAATATTAAGCTCACTCATGCATGGGAACGCATTTCTCATTGTCATCACATGTTCGTTAGTAGATTTTAATCTCTTGGTCCACCAAAGAAGTGAAAATGTTTTTGTGAAAGTTTTTGTTTATTATAAACATTAACGATGACTATTCCCGTCTAGTAAATATTCCCCACAGTAATCATCAAATATATTCCGATTTTCAACTGGTTTTTTCCTTTACAGCAACAAATTTAATATTCAAATGCATCAAATGTAGGAAAGTATTATAGCTTTTCATTTTTCCACTTTTCATTTTATACTGTTTGCGAGGCAATCTGAACACGAAAAAAACCTTTAATTATTGTTTCTGATGGACTCCGATCCATCAGAAACAATAATTAAACGTTGGTTTACTGACTTCAAACGTGGTCGTAGAAATACCAATGATGCAGAATGCAGTGAACGTCCAAATGAGGCAGTAACACCGAAAAACATAAAAATAATCATGAATTCAATGGTTACAATATGAAATATAATATTTTCAACAGGACGGTGCTCCTCCCCATTATGTAGCAATAATAAGGAAACATTTAGATGCAATATTCCCAAGAAAGTGGATTGGAAACAATGGACCAATTAACTGGCCAGCCCGATCGCCAGATCTTATTCCTTTAGATTCTTTTTTCTGGGGATA